AGGTTGAAATGAACAATTGTTCTCATCATTTTCTTTACAAAACTAAGCAAATAACCGCGTACTCAACGCGTTGCTTCGGATTCGGATTACTTCATTAATGACAAATTGAAGAGATTCATGTATTCTACAAAACCTAGGTCGCGTCCAACCATGGCAGGTGTCCCATCTGTTGCTACTGATATTATATTTTAGAAAGGGACTGCTTTTTCCTTGAAGTAATCCTTCAAAACATTAAATATTGGTTCGCCTTTAGTGTCGGTTGTCAAACTTTTTGATCCGTAATAAAACGAAAATTAAGATAAGGTTGACCCATCGGTCAGTCGGGCCGCCCTAAAGGCAATTCAGGTCTACACGTGTGAATCCGCACTGGTTAAAGAATGTACCGATAACCTTAGGAAACTCGCCAGGGGTAAAGAAATTACTATATGCTGAGTTCTAGGTCACAAAGACATTGTGGGTAATGAAAAGACGAACAAGCTGACCAAAGAGACAGCGAAGCCGCCCTTTATTGGATCACAACCCGAGTGTGGACTACAAAAAATCCACTAAAAACAGAGTGCGGGAACCCCGTTTTTTGACTAGCGCCCCATTTTCGAAAAAATCAGAGTTTCTTTGTTGTTCTGGGTTGTTGTAGTTGTTCTAGTTATTGTTCTAGAAGAATAAAATTATGGGATACAGCATTACGAATTTATAACTAAAAATAGGTTTGGCTGCCAAAATATCCAGTTGATTGCTGTAACCATAATTTTTCTATTTTCAATTCCATATTACAAATATATACTTTTTATACTTATGTCAGTAATTTTTGCGTCAGCGGTTTTAACTTACACTATAACAAATAAAAAACATATAACGATCTGAAATAACTTAAACTTTGCTGATTCAAATTGTTCTAGGTGTGTTTTACGTTTGAACTAGAGTTTTAACGTTTACCTAGGTTTTTTACGGACATTAATTTTGCAAAATCACATCTTCTTTGTTGCTCTAAATTGTTCTTGTTGTTCTAGTTACTTAAAATGTTTATTTTATCACTGCTGCTTTGTTTTTTTTTAAGTTTCATATTAAAAATTAGTATGTACTTACAACAATTCGAACAATTCAGAACAGATGTTACTTTCACTAGAAACACCTTAAATTTGAGTTGTTGTGATATCGAACAAGTTTTGTTGAATCTGTGAACCTAACCTTTAATATAATAATAGTTTTAAAAAATTTAAAAAAATGGAATAATCTGACCGTCCTAATTTTCTAAAAATCAAAAGTTTCACCTTTCTCGTTAAACTTATAATAATAAATATACAGGGTGATTCACATAAGAACAGACACATAGCAGGGACATGTAAAGGACAATAAATTAAGACGATTTAACACAACTTATCTCTATACTAAGTTGTACTCCTGGGGAGTTATAAGCCTTCAAAGTTGGGTCTTAAATTTTTAAAACATTGAATATCTTCATAATACATTAAGTTAGAAAAACCAAATTTGGTATACGTTATGAGTGTACCGAGGGTAGTAATTGGTAGCAAGTTGAGACCAATTGAGGCATTTGAAAGGGTTGATTACGGGTGATGGTCCCCTAAATTTTGACAGATTTTTTTATCCGTTTGGTGGATTTAACACATTATTACCTGATTTCATGTGGAATTTAATTCTAAAACTTTTTCTACTCTTATTATTTTTTAAAAAACATTGTCGTTTTCATAAAAAACTCAAATAACTAAAGACACGTATTTCGTTAATGCTACTTAAAATCATCGAAAATTCAGTAGTCGGCTGTGAAATTGTATGTCAAATTTGACAAATAGGTTATAAAACCTTGTTGTCAAATAACTTTATAAAAAAAGTTTTAGAATTAAATTCCACATGAAATGAAGTAGTAAATTATTAAATCCGCCAAAAGGTTAAAAAAGTATGTCAAAATTTATGGTACCATTACCCTTAATCAACCCTTTGAAATGCCTCAATTGAGTTCAATTTGCTACCAATTAATACCCTTGGTACACTCATAACGTATACCAAATTTGGTTCTTCTAGCTTAATTTATTACGAAGATATTGAACTTTTTAAAAATTTAAGAGCCAACTTTGATGGCCTATAACTCCTCAGGTGTACAACTTAGTATAGAGGTAAGTTACTTTAAATCATCTTAATTTATTGTCCTCTACATGTCCCTGCTCTGTGTCGGTTCGTATGTGAATCACCCTGTATTATAATAAATTAATAAATAAACTAAACTAACAAATAAAACAATAACTATTCGATTAGTATTACTATATCAGTACAATAACTTATTCTAAAGTAAACTATAACTAAATGAACTAAATCATGTAAATAAACTAATTTCACGGACCAATATGGTTACATCACTTTGCTCATTTATAAACATATATGCACATTTGTGCATTTATTTCAGTAGCTTCTTCAACTTGTACAGATTTTTTTTGTAAGTCATTAAATAATATCCAATTGGCATTATTGGGCACAAATAGCGCGTAGTATCCTACATCATTAAAAGATTGAGTACCTTCGTAACTGATGATACCTGCGAGTATATAGAATTTGTTGTGGAGTTGTAATCACTCAATTTTGTTTTATTGTTCTCTCCATTCATTGTCATCGTTGCCATTTCATATTGAAGGCTACTGCTAGCCTCATAACCACATTTTTTGCAATTGTTGCTTAGAGTTTACATATAGTTTTCTATTGCTTGCTGTAGCTGTGCATAGCCAAATACTGTTACAATGTTAATGTCGATTGGTTTAACGTTTAAACAATTATTGCAGTTTTTAGTCCTACACTAAATTCTTCTTAAAATAGTTGTGTGCAAGAAACGCAATATTTGAAGTAGCATTCACTATTATTACGTCAGCAATATTCTCGCTTACAAAATAATTTATTCCTGTTAATAGTTCAGCTCTTTAGTATCCTACAATAGTATACATAGATTCCATCATTTTGATTTTCTAGAACAATAACTAGAACAAAACCCAGAACAACAAAGAAAATCAGATTTTTCCAAAAACCGATTTTTTCGGTTTTTCTCGCCGAGTTTGTATTTTTTCTATTTGCCGGTTTGGAACATTGTAGAACAACTCTAGAACAATCCAGAACACCAATGAAAAATTTTAAAATCCAAAAAAGGGGGCTAACTTCCCGCACTCCTAAAAACAGTTGATTAACACATGGGTGGACTCAAAGATGCGATGGAGAGAACTTTGAGGACACATACAGTCGAAGAGTATGATAACTCCCTAACTTGTCGACCTTGCAACGATAAGTTAGTGACTGCTGAACATATTCTGTGTGACTGCGTCGCTACAGGTCGCCTAGGACACAACATTTTCGGAAATGTTTACCTGACACCTACTGACATAAAGGAACAAGACTTTGGAGCAATACTAAGGTTCATTCTGGATCTATATCCGCCCTAAACCTGTGAAAGGCGTAAGTTACAATAGATCTTATAAGTTGCGGTGATGAGAGGAGCCGCTCCCCTCAGGCCGGCAATAACAAAAAAATAAAAGGTTGACTCGTCCAGCTGTATAGAGAAATAGCTCGATTACAAATAATAATTATACAAGGAGCATTTGAATTGTGTTGTTGCTTAAAGGAATTCTTTTAATGACACCAGATACAGCTTTGTGTAAAACAGTTTTTAAAACTTCTTCAACGATTTGCAAAATCTGCTTTTTTTCAATAGTATGCGATTTTCCGGAATTCGCTACAGGTAGGGAGATATTGTAAGAAGCTCGCAAACCATCATCATTTTTTTGTGACGTCGAAGAGAACATTTTGCCCACTGTGGGACTAATCTGAACTTTTTCTTGAAGTGTTTACAAGTACTTCAAATCTTTACCTGTTTTTTCTAGGTAATCTTCTCAAATAATCCTCCAACTTAGATGGCTTTATAGCATCTTATGTTGCATAAAAGGCACATAGGTAATTGCTTGTCTGATAAAGACATAACGAAACCAAAAGTCAAATAGTGTACACTGTACTGTCTATATTCCTGTTTAGATTCGGCTATCTTTAATATTAGTGATCTGTGAACCAAATTAAGGTATTTAATAAGTCATAGCAATAATATAAAATAGAGAGACACTGATAAATAGATCAGATAGACCCGTTCCATACCAAGAGAGTTTCTTAACTACGAGTAAAAAACTAAAGTTTAATAAAAACATATGTACTTACTTTCTCCCAGTTTATACTTTTGAAAAAGTAGTACTTTCAGTTTCAATACTATGGAAACAAATGAAAGCGTTTGTTCCTCACATTCATGTTTATTGATTTATAAATTGAACAAGTTAGTCCCAAGTATTCCTACGCCGTCTTTACGAACGTCTGAGACAAGAATGGACAAGAACTTCTCTCAAGGATATCTGGTATCATTATATGTGCAAGTTTTTTTGCACTTTATATTGTTTCTTTGAATCTACGCGACAACTATGACTTTCTATAATGGGAAACATCTTAATGCGTTGTATAACTCAATCTGCATCTTCCTCTGAAGAATGTGCCTTTGTAAAGTGTTTACTAATCTTTCTGGTACATTTATAAATATATTTCTTCATGAAATCTTTTTTGTAACTATTTTCTTTGTAACTCTCACTTTTTTTGTCTCAATATACCAATTCTAGAGATTTGTATATCTTTTACATGATACTTTTTTCTCTTCACCTTGTCCGTTAGTTCATATCCTATTTCATTACCCAAATTTTCTAGATGGAGAATTCCTTTATTTGCGTTTGCATCAGCTTGTGGAATTTCTTGCTCCCCGTTCTTTCTTCTTCTTCCTGAACCAAATTATCTTTATATTGAGTTTCTTGATTTTCGTGATGTATTATATTCATACTCTTTAAACTGTGCAACACCACCCAAATTGAAATAATAACTTACCTTTATGCTTTTAAGTTCTAACGAATCTTCCCCTGAAATTTTTCGCATTATCTTATTATGTTGTTTATTTAAATTACAAAATAAATCACAAATTTTTATGAAATGTATATTTGAAAAATAAAAAAAATCAATTCAATAAAAAAGATAATAACTCTAATTAAATAAATTAAGCCTGTGATTTATATTGGCTTTCATATTTCTTCCTATACTGCCCATTAGGATCGTATTTATTAGTCAGTCTCTTCCAGTCATTATTTTTATTTTTGATCAAATGTCGGATAACTTTTTCGGCGGCAGCCTTTTGCCTTTCGTTGCATTTATTGCATCCGTTCGCCAGCGCATCGGGTAAAGTTTCTAAAAACAACATCACAGAAATTATGTAACACCGTACCAAAACAAGTTTAAAAGAGAAAGTTGATGCATAACGGGAGAAAGTTAAGGACCGAGATAAACTTTGATAATATTTCGGTGAATTAAATTATATAATTAAAAAAAAAACAAAAACTTACTTTTAAGTTCTCTGCCTTCATTAGTGCATGGTCCCTCATCCATCATACATTTAATGTAATTACTTAGTATCCTTCCATTAGCTAAGATCTTATCAACATCGATATTGTCGTATTTTCCAGTGTAAGCATTTTGGGATTTAACCAAAACGAACACCGACAAAGTAACGATGGTTATCAATACAAAATTCATTTTCCAAACGACTTCTTCTCGTGAGACTTCTTGGAGATACTGAAGCTTTGCAGGACGGCAACTCGGTATATGAAGAAAGGCGAGTGGTCACGTGACCAGACGTTGCTCGATCGAGAAATACCCAGAGTGAAGCCGAAAAGTCTTTATAATCGAATGACCCAGATATTGCTAATCCATAAACGGACAGTCATTTACAAAGACTTTGTAGGTGGTGCTTAAAGAATGCAAAATATTTATAATAATGCATTGAAATTGTATACATTTTTTATAGATGATGAAAGAGACGATTAATGTACTTGGAATTTCCTTTGTGGCAATAAAATAAGGTGTTTGAGAAAGAAATCGGGAAGAGAAAAGTGAGAGTTGAAGGTTCAAAATGGAATTCCCAGACTGTTTACGTACGATATGTATTTTTGTATTTATTTGGAATGGTTAATTAGCTATAATTGAAATAAGAAAAGGAGTTAAACTTTCTTTTGTGTATAGAAGAAAGATTTTATGAGAAAAATAGATGTTTAATTTAACAAGAAAATTTAAAGGTTAGAAATTTTTGTTATGACTTTCTTCAATATTGAAAATTAATATTTGATTAAATAAAGTTAAGTGAAAATTGTAGCGAAATAAAACTTGATTATTAAGAGTAAAACACAGATAAGACGGTCTAAGATGATTTTTTTGTTGATATAGTATATCTTTATTGTTGAAATTACAGAAAATTATTGATAATGAATTGATCATATATAAATTTGCTCGTGAAGAATATCCACTAGAAATTTGGAAATAAGATTGATAAAGAGATATAATATCACCGAAACTATTTATGCAATTTCAACATTGCCGGAAATTACTGACAGAGATGTAATAGCCGATGAGCATGTGTTGTTTGCGTGTCTATCCGATTTTCTTAAAAGCAAAGCATCTCAAACTTTGTCTGGTAAATTAGAATCTAAGCAACATTCATAAACTTTATATATTGTGCATGCTTTTCATGATTTCGCTGAGTCGCGGAAGAAGTGGCGGTCTTCTGTGCTCAAAATTTCTCAACAGAAAGACTAAGTTTAAAATATATAAAACGTTAATAAGACTTGTAGCATCTATGTGGCTGAAATGTGGTCGATGATGCAAAAAACAAGAGACACGCTGAGAATGTTTGAGTAGAATTTACTCCGTAATATTTTCGGCCCTACACAGGAGGAGGACGGTAGCTGGAGAATCAGGATGAACCATGAGATGGATAAATAAATACACAGGACGGTTAGGGCATCTATGCAGGATGAAGCATGCTAGACTTGTGAGAGTGCTGACTCAACCGACGAGGGAGGAGGACATGGAAGATGGCTGCAGAGGAGGATTTACGGGATATTTGTGTTAAACTATAGAGGGGGCCGAGAACAGAGGATCATTCTCGCCCCATGTTCTTAGTAAAAGAAGAAGAAGAAAAGATGTTCATGATTTTGTGATCTTCACGTCTTTGATGAGAATCAACCCCGTCTATAGTTTTGAAGTTATTTCAAATTTTATAACGAATATTAATCCTATTGTTGCCTTTTGAACAAGTGAATATTAGATATTCTAATTAAGTGTTAAAGTATAATCTACCAAGAAAATATCTGCCAAAGCTGGGATCACGTTCTTATAAAAATGACCCATCGGAAACTCTTAAAGCTGCCTGGGCACGTATTTCATATTAAAAAACCATTTTCATATTTGAAGAAGTTAGGTACTCATAAGATCTGCTGACTATTGTGGCGATTGTGAATTTTCACTAACCATTAACGATTTAAGATACTTGGCCATACAACTTTGTCTGTCTAAATGACAGCCAAAGTCGTAATGTGGCTAAGGTTGGTTCAAATTTGCCAAAGTTGATTCAAAACATCGCGATAAACATTAAAAGATGTCGCGCAAATATTGCAATTGAAACTCGATCACCATTATTACAGCACATTTATATAAGTTTCGTTATTTACAACGCAACTATTTATACCTGAACAGTTTCTATCTTTGCATTCAACAAACACTGAGGTATTATTAACGGTATATGATAAAAGCCGACGTTGATGTAAAATCTCACTTTCCAAGGTTTTGCTTTGCGCAGCAACTGCCTTATGTGGTGAAGGTTTAATGCTTTCATGGTAAGCTCTTTCTTTAGCCTATTTGGTATAAAGAGGATGTCGAATTTTAGATTTGGTAAGATGATCTTGATATAGCATAATAAATTTAAAATTTTTATCAGCATTGGACTGTTTTTTATTCGTGAATTTGGCATCTGGTCATTTCACTAAAAGTGGTTTTTATTACAAACCACGCTGGCACGCTGTGTTGCGATAAATTTCTCAGTTATACTTTGGTGTATGTGATTAATCTCTTTAAGTGTTCTTCTAGCTCTACCGCTATAACCAGTTGAAAGACGATTAGAAACTCGATCAACAAGCTTTTTCTCTGTTTAGTGTTCTTTCTTTTAGTGATATAAAAATTATCTGAGATTTTCTTAACAATAAATTCTGTCATTAACTGATAGAAACGTTCTTACGATACCATGATACACAATTAATTGGAAAGTATATGATACATAATCACTCATTAATTACAAACACCATGTTGGCTTTAGGGAACGCATGCTCGTTTCTCATGCAGGTCCTATGTATTAAGGTGATAGATAATCCGACAAAACGTAAACATACGTTTTGTTTTGTTGTCGTTTTGTCTTACGCTACGCTTTGAAGAGTAAAACCCCGAAATAACACATAATTTCATAACGTTTCGGGTTTTTGTTATCCTAACTTGGTAGATATAAAGATTTCACAATATGATATATAATATAAATTAATATGATTTCAATTAAATTCTATTAATTAAATAAATTTTTTATATATTTTTTTATTATGATTTACAATATGTGCTGACAATGCAAAATAAATTGCTGATTTTTGAGCAAGTTAAGCCATTAAACCAGTTTGTGTCTATGGTCTGCAAATATGGGCTTGCACTACAGAATGTAATATCAAGATATACAAAGGTTCCAGAACAAGATATTAAAGAACGTTGCAAATGCGACTTGGTCATAACGAATAGCGACTTCCACAGAAATCTTGGGGTACCTACGATGATAGAAGAAGTTCAGATGTGTGCTCAACGGCATGAACAAAGACTTCTTCTTCATATCAATGAGGAAGCCATCCAGCTCTTGGACAACAGTCAGCTTGACTTCAAAGAACCAAATCGTTCGAGTTGATGTAGTGCGGTGCAGTGCAAGTGGGCACAAAGCAGTGAAATTAGATTTTAGTGCGGGATAACAGAGTATGCAGGGCGACAGGACTCTAGAGAATCCATGGAGTTAAACTGGGTGTATAACTTTAATATTACAAAAGTTACGTTGATGAAAAATGGCCTATTTTTGTCATTAGACTAGTCGTATATTCAACTACTCTGAGAAACCTCCTCATACAGTTCATGAAACCTCAAAGGCTACAATAAACAGGATATGTTATCAGGATTGAAGAAGGGAGACTATCAGAGTGAAAATACACTCACAACACTAAAATGCATGACAAAAGCGCGGTGGGCAGACCACGAAAATGTTGGGATGATAAAGTATCAGAGCTAAGAGCCAAGAGCTGCACTAGACAAAGGGAAATGGAGGCAGATGATAACGGAAGCCAAGGAGTAATTTAGTTTATAGTGCCATAGAAAGAAAACGAGTAAAGCTTTCCCTTTGGCAGATACTTAAACGTGAGTAAAAATTTTATTATTCTTTAGCCGTCTTACAAAAGTTTCTACTTATTTGTAAGCTGTTATGTTCAGTTATTTGTTCTATTTTCCGTTTTTTCTACAGGTTTTGTCGGCCTCTTTGACATTCTTCATATTCATCATCATTGCCATTAATTTCGTGAGTTTTTATGGGTGATTTCGTATGACTAACTAATTTCACCACCTTCAACACAACACGTTTTTACTCTTTGCTTGTCGTCTTCTAACTTCTTCCTCACTACTTCTTCTCTCATCTGCTTCTATCGATCAACCCGAGACCTTGACCGAGTACACTAGAAGGGTCTTGTCTCGAGTCTTCTCGAATCTTTCATACATATCGACCCTCCTTCTGGAAATCCTTCTCGAATGACTCTTCGTATTCATCATCTTCTTGTACCCAGGGCTTCATGTTATCGGGACTAGTGATGGTTTGCCTTCGTCCAGGATGATCGCCTATTCGGTTTACTTTATATGGGTCAGGTCCATACATTGTTGTTACTTGATAAGGACCAACAAACTTTTGTAGTAACTTTGTTTCATTTTAAAATTGATTGCTTCGAATTACCACTAAATCTCCCGTTCTATATACAACAACCATCTTCCTTTATTTTCATCCTTTTCTTATTGTTCGTTTTTAATATTTTCTGTTTCTACTTTTTTTATTTATTCTTTTGCAATTTTTCTAATCTCTTCGCGTTCTTCCATAAAAGTATCCGCATGTTCTCTTTCTAAAATTCCCTTCAATTTCATCTCTTCCTTTCTTTTCTTTTCTTCCTTCTTGCAACTTTCGAACGTATCGATACTAACATTCGGGACGTTCAATGGGCAATTTGCTTAAAACTGGTATTATTATTCTATTCACTCTTTCAACTTGACCGTTGTCTCTGCAAACGCCAGTCGCTATTTTAATATGTCTTATGTCTTCATGAAGGCAATATTGCTCAAAATCGTTGGATGTAAATGCTGTTCCTCTATCTGAAATAATAATAATAATAAATGACTTTATTCGTTCACTTACACCTATATACATTATACAAATTATATTTTATGCATATAAAAAGATGAACGAAAAGGCGAAATTCAGTATAATACTGATTTTCAACTTAACCTTAAGAGAGCAAAAAAAAAACAGATACGTAATATAATAACGAAAATAATACCAAAAATAATAATACAACCAAAACATAATAATATAAAACAATAATTCAAAAGAAAAAGAAACAGCAAATAATACTGCCATCTGTAGTGAGAACCTTGCACACCCTCTAATGTTTAAACTCAGCGATGTCACGGCGACGGCTGCTATATTATCGTAAATCAAATTATGTACTAAATAAATGAACAAATAATTTATTTTTGAATGACCTTATTGTATTACAACTTCTGATATCTATCGGGAGACTGTTAATAACTGTTGTAATCTGATACGTAAACGAACTTTTAAAAAATTCAAGCGAGTGTAGAGGAGGAGTTAGTGTACCTTTAAAACGGACATTTATTGTGTGTACGTCTGATCGAAATACTATTTTTCTATATAGATACGGTGGCTTTTCAGTTTTTAGTATTGTAAAATATAAACACGCCGAATGCAGAGCTCGTCGCTGCGTCATATTTAACCAATTTACCTCCCGCAACTTATGACTTATATGTTGGCGACGCCGAACACCAAAAATCAGCCTCAAACAAGAATTTTGCACTCGTTGTATTCTTTGAGCTGTAAGCGCTGTAATAAAGGGAGAATACACGACATCGCAGAAGTTGAAATGGGAAAGAACCAAAGCATTACAAAGCATAGTTTTAATTTTTTTGTTTAAAAACTTTCTGTTGCTATATATTGACCGCAAATTAGCGTAAGCTCTCTGAGTACATTTATTTATATGATCAATAAATCTCAGCTTTTCGTCAATAATCAGGCCCAAAGTCTTTGCCGACGCTGCAAAGGGTACCCTCACGTCACCAACACAAACATCAAGGCTAGACTTAATTGAATCACGATATTTCTGAGTTGAGAATAAAACCAGTTCAGTTTTCATGGAGTTAATTTTAAGGCCATGCCTGCGAGAGATCTCAACAACATTCTGCAAGTCATCATTAATGTGTTGATTAGCTAACGCACACTCTGTTGGCAAGAAACTGTGATACAACTGAGTGTCGTCTGCATAAAAATGTATTTTGCAATATTTTAAGTGAGAATAAAATCTACTAGTGTAGATAGTGTATAGAAGCGGACCCAGGACAGAACCCTGCGGCACACCGGACCTTAAATCCATAGGACACGATAATACCTCATCTATAATAACGTGTTGTTGCCGATGCGTTATATAATTATATAGCAAAGTTACTGCAATATCATCCAGCCCAATAAACTGTAACACAGATCGCAACAGTTCATGATCAATTGTATCGAATGCCTTCGAAAAATCTAACAGACACAATACAGTAGCTCTGCCCCTATCCAACTCCCTCACAATATCGTCAACAATTGTCAACAAAGCAGTTGCACAACTGTACCCCGAGCGAAATCCAGACTGTACATCTGGTAAGATTTTATTTTTATCAATATAGCGTTGCAGCTGGCCAGCAATAACCTTTTCGGCAATCTTTGATAACACCGGAAGTACACTTATAGGTCTGAGATCAGCAAACACTAAGGGCCGACTAACTTTAGGCAACGGCTTTACCAGTGCTATCTTCCACGCTATTGGAAAAACACCCTCCGTCAAACAATGATTTATTATATGTGTGATATAATCTGTAATGTAAGGACAACAAAGTTTAATTAGGTTTATATTCAATGTATCTATTCCTGCTGCACTTGTTTTTATAGAATTTATAATTTCGTATATGTCAGAGTTACTTATCCTTTGAAATGTAAAAGTGTTACTATTAATTCGATTACTACTATAATATCTGTACAAATCATCATCGAAAGGTAATAGAGATGAAACAGAATTGACATAATAAAAATTTAAATCATCAGGTCGTTGAAGATGCCCTGGTATTGAATTGCCCGCAATACCGCCCATACCTACCGACCGCAACGCCCTCCAAGGATTACCTTTTTCACACCGAACCCGATACTCCAAAAATGCCTTACGTTCACTGTCAATGGCTGCATTAACCGTATTTCTACATGATTTATAATACTCCCACGCATGCACTGATTTTTTTAATTTAAACTTTTTATATGCATCATCACGGAAGCGCTGCATTAATCTAATAGTGTCCGTTAACCAAGGAACGGGTGATTTTGTAAACCTATAACGTTTTGAAGGAAGATGGAAATCTATTACAGATACTAAACTGTTAGTAAGGTAGTTAATTTTATCATCTACGCTTACCATATCAAATATCGAGTAAAGGGGGAGCCTATACAAATCATTCAAAAACTCTTCACGATCAAAATATTTAAACGACCTCAATGTTCTATACTGAGGATAACGTGATGGCAAAACAGGCGCAATCTCACAAAACACCAGCTCATGATCTGATATACCACGTGCAACACCCTTTGCCCTTATCATCCCTAAATCAGATGTGCAGATCACATCTAATAATTTTTCAGTGGTATTTGTAATTCTTGTTGGCGAATCAATTATTTGAATCAAGCCCACTGAATCAAGCATTTCTAAGAAGCTCACACTGTCATTGCCACCATGAAGCACATCAATATTGACATCACCCACCAAAATAAACGTATCGTGCGTTGCAGCTACAGTAGCCAACGCATTTTCAAGTTCTGTAATAAAAGCTGAAGAATTAAAATTCGGCGGTTTATAGACAACGCCCAAGGCAATACGCATTTTATCAACAAGAAAAGAAATCCATAGCTGTTCAATAGTATTCGGAATAGTAATTATTTTATACCTTAATTTGTTGTTTATATAAAAACAACACCTCCTCCCCTACCATCTCGATCCGCGCGCTCCAACGTAAAACCAGGAACAGCAACCGTCGCCGAGTCAACATCAGTTGTAAGCCAAGTTTCAGATAAACCGATAATATCATACTTAGTTTCATTAATGACGTCTAATAATCTAATGAACTTTGCTCTCAGTGACTGAGCATTCAAGTGTGCTAATAATCTCAGGATTTCCAAGCACACTTCCTTTAAAATCAAGTTTATCGATGACTTCTTTTGTCGATGTTGTTTTGGTGGGGTATATCCACACAAACTTTGTTAAAGAATCAATGACAACAAATAGGTATTTATATCCTTTTCCCGTCTTCATCATTGGACCTTAATGATCCACATCATATGTTTGCAGGAGCATCGCCTTTTCAATAGAATTTAAATAACCTTCTTGCTTACCTATTTTCCGGCCGGAAAGAATACAAGGTACACAATCGCATATAACACTTCGAATTTTGTCCTCCAGTTGATGAGCACAAATGACCATTCTCGTGCGTATTCTTATTAATTTGATATTGCATATTAGTAGAAACCACTATAAGTTGTAACCCATTTTCATTTTTATACAGTATGCCTCTACTTAGGTTGTAGTACTCATAGGGTTGACTTTCGAGTATTTTTGTTATAACTTTGATTTGATCATCTTCTCGTTGTGCTATCTCTAATTTTTCTAGTGTACTGTTTTGAATCATCATGGTTATTGGATTTCTGCTTAATGCGTCACAGTGTTTCATTCGTGAATCTGGTCGGTATTGTATCACATAGTTAAACTCTTCCAACAACAAAGGCCATCAAGCTACTCTAGTACACAGACCTTTTTTGTTCATAGTGGCTGTAAACGCCGCACAGTCTGTTACTATTTTAAACGGTAATCCAATGGCCAAAACTTCCAATTCGTAGCTGTGGTATTTTCTTTGTGTATCATTTGTTTTTCTACTACAATAATAGACAGGGTGCAGTTCACCATTTTCACCACTTCTCTGTAATAATATCGCCCCAAATCCGTCTTGACTTGCATCAGCGTGTAACTCTGTTTCATCATTATAATTAAAATTTCTTATTACGGGTTCTTCACACAAAAGTCGTTTGAGTCTTCCAAAAGACGTACGCTCTGCAATTCCAAAATGAAACTGCTTGTTACCCTTTAAGAGATCCGATAAAGGTTTCACTATCTACGCATATCGATCTATATGTCGCCACACTACCGTCTTTACGTCTTTTCCTCTTCCATCTTTTTTTCTTCTTCACATCTTCTCGTCTTCCGTCTTTTTCTCGTTTTCACGTCTTCTTATCTTCCATCTTTTTCTCATCTTCGTTTTTATTCTGTTCTCGTCTTAGTTGCTTTTGTCTTTGCATTCATCTTAACGTCTTCTTTTGGTCTTTCCTTCGTCTTACTGTTTATGTTTTTTTTTCACACGTTGCGTTGTCCGTAATCGTAAAAATGTAGGATTTTGTTTGAATAAACCACCAAAACCCCACTTGTTCTTAATTAATTTATTATTACTATTAACATTTAAACTTTCATATGACTAACTAATTTCACAACCTTCACCACAAAACTTTTCACTCTTTGCTTGTCGTCTTCTAACTTCTGCTACTTATCTTCTTCTCTCATCTGCTTCGATCGATCGACCCGAGCCCTTGACCGAGTACACTCGAAGCGTCTCGAATCATCCCGAATCTTTCCTACATACATTAAACATAATACATGTACATGTATTGTATTGTCCATCGACTAAACTACTAAACTATCGGCCGACTAAGAATCGACATTGTGTGTCTAGCTTAGTGTTCTTCTAGTTCTATCGCCATAACCAGTTGAAAGATGATTGGATTTGATCTCATGCAGGTTTTATTTAATAATAATAATAATGCAATTTATTAACCGTCAAAAATCTTTTACAATTATGTAAAGTGATTTATAACTTTACATAATAAAGAAAATTAAGAAGGTTAATTAGGTAGCCAGGTCAGGCAACACCTTGGTAGTGAGGCCTGCTCTTCCCCTAGCTCCTATATAACAAATAATCCATAACAGCACAAAAAAAATATATATAACTGAGTATAATAAGACAAACTAATTCAATCTTGTCTGTCGCTCACATAGATACCGTCTGTATTTAATTTTAAACTTTGACACGTTTAACACTTTTAATGGGCGAGGAAGGGTGTTCCAAAAAACTGTGATGCAGTATGTAAATGAATTCCGAAAAGCAGTCGACGCGTGACATGGCACCGTAAGTAAATCTTTTCTGCGAATATTAACATTATGTACATCAGTACGGTAGGTTATTTTATTACTTAAACAGGAATTTTGTCTTTTAAGATTTTGAAATAAACTACTCCTCTATGTAGAGTCATCCTATTATCTATATTCAGCCAACCACACTCCGCCAATTTATGTGAAACTCTCTGATATTTTTGTATGCCATAAATCAACCTGAGGCAGTTATTCTGGACATACTGCACCCTTCTTAATTTTAGGTTAATTTTTAGACCATGTGCCTCAGAAGCGTCAACAAGGGATTGTACATCCGAATTAATTTTGATAGCAGCATTATTAGAGTCAGTGTGATGAAATGAAATTGACAATTGAGTATCATCAGCATAAGCATGATATTTGCAAAACTTAAAATTTTTATAAAACGTACTCACATAAATTATGAACAGCAGAGGTCCACATATACTTCCCTGAGGAACTCCTTTAGAGATTAGTCCTCTTTGTGAGAAGACATCTTTGATTTTAGTTCGTTGTTCTCTGTTTAAAAGGTAATGTTTAAAAAACTCTATTGCTGTGTGACTCAGACCAATGTAGTGTAAAATACTTAGTAACAGATGGTGATTTATCATATCAAATGCTTTTGAATAATCCAACAATACAATCGCATGCATGTCACCCCCGTCGACGCTACGCAACACATCATCCACAATATCTAATAGAACAGAATTACAGCTATGATTCGGTCTAAATCCCGATTGGTTGTCGAGGGTATGGTGTTGTAAAGAAAAAGATGTTCCCTTAATTGACAACAAACTATTTTTTCAAGTACTTTGGAGAGTACTGGCAAAATACTTACAGGTCTAAAATCTGTATAATTCTCAGGAGCACTGGTTTTCGGCAATGGAATCACAATGGAATCCTTCCAGCAATCAGGGAAAACCGATTCCAGGAGACAAGTATTAATAATATGCGTTATAATATCTAATAAATATGGACATGACATCTTAACTGTGTTTATACCAAGAAAATCACTTCCCACAGCACCAGAATGAATACCTGATATAACTGCAGCCACCTCACTGCGTGCCACAGTACGAAAGACAAATAATTCTTTAAATGTACATAAAGTGTTGCTATTATAAAATTGTAATAAATTATGATCAATGTCATTGTTTGAAGATATATTAAGAAAGTGATCATTAAATTTATCTGCATCACATAAATTCTCAGGTACATCACAATTTTTAGATTTACATCCGATGCCTAATTTAGTATATGTTTTCCATATTTTACACGTATTTCTGATTCGAAAAATATTCATATATATTTTCTGTTCCTTACGTATTGCAGATGTTAGATAATTTCTTAAGGACGTGTAATATTCCCAGTGCTCAGGCTTTTTTGTCCGTTTGAAACGACTCAATACCATATCTCTCGTTTCCATCATAGACCTGATGACTGGAGTCAACCAAGGCGCACTTGGTCGGAAAACTTTGATAATTTTCTCAGGTACATGTTTATCAAATACATACAGTAAATGCCTATTAAAAATTTCTTAAGGTGATAGATAATCCGGAAAAACGTTTTCATGAAAAATCGTGTAAAATCCAAATGAGTAATGTAAAAACAAAATAAAGCCTTTATTTAAAACTTTTGTCAAATCAAATCCTTGCAAAGAAAGTTCGTGAAAAAAATACAGAAAGATAGATATTGGAATAATAACCAGATACTTCATTTTTCTAAACGATATTTAATGTCATGAAATTATCAAGGTGATCATAAAACTCCCATCTTTTTCCACTTACACCCATAATGATATAACTTAATATCTTTCTAATGGACGTTTATAACCATATATATGCCATCTTACCGACATTCGATGTTACAGTATATGCTCAGCTTTCACACCGACAACTAAAATCCTAATGAGTAATGTAAAAACAAAATAAAGCATTTACTTTAAACTTTTGTCAAATCAAATCCTTGCAAAGAAAGTTCGTGAAAGAAATACAGAAAGATAGATATTGGAATAATAACCAGATACTTCATTTTTCTAAACGATATTTAATGTCATGAAATTATCAAGCTGATCATAAATAAAATTCCCATCTTTTTCCACTTACACCCATAATGATATAACTTATTACCTTTCTAATGGACGTTTATAACCGTATATGTGGCATCTTACCGACATTCGATGTTACAGTATATGCTCAGCTTTCACACCAACAACTAAAATCCTAGTTATTACTCTATCCAAAAAAAACGAAAATACAGTTCTTTGTTAATAACTAATTACGATCACATTGAAATACTTTTAGATCAACGCTTGAATTTGGAATCGATTCACGGATTTTATTAGTAAGTCCTACAATAGTTTCTATTACTAACAATTTAACTGTATCAATTTAAAGAACTATAAATTTTTGATTGATAAAATATTATTTATCTACAACTATTGAATTATCTATTCGTTATACAATTGATTTTTGACGGGTAATGACACTCATTACCCATGACAGACAAAGTGTTGAATAATGAGGCCATTATTCCACACTTCTGACACTGCCTACTAATCAAAAAATAAAATATTAACAGAAATGACAGCTTTCTTATATTGAGGTTATGTCTGAAATGTCTATCAAGTTTATTTTTTTTTCGTTTTTTTGATTTTTTTTTCAAAATTAAATAGTTGTAGATAAAGTATAGTATTCAACTTGCGT